GCCCAGACTAAAGTGCAGTGGCTGCTCCTGGCCACCGCAGCCTCGACCTGCTGGGCTCCAGCAATCCTTCCGCCTCAGCCTTCCGAGTAGCTGGAACTACAGGCACGCGCTACCACGCTCAGATAATTTTTTGATTTATTGTAGAGACGAGGTCTTGCCAAGTTGCCCAGGCGGGTCTTGGACCCGCGGGCTCGGGCTGCTGTTGCCTTTCAAATGGGTGATACTTAGGTACTAATAGCCTTTCAGATGGGTAACATTTAGATAATAGTCTTTCAGATGGGTGATACTTGGGGACTAATAGCCTTTCAGGTGTGATACTTAGTTGCTAATTGCCTTTCAGATGGATAATACTTGGGTACTAATAACCCAGTAGTTCTCAATGGGGAACTGGGGAATGATTTTGCTCCACAGGGGACATTTGGCAGTGTCTGGAGACATTTTTAGTTGTTGCAGCTGGGGAGAGAGTGCTACTGGCTTCCAGAAGATAGCGTCAGAGCTGCTGCTTGGCAACCACAAGGGACAGGACAGCTCCACCACGAGAATTATTTGACCCAGAATATTGACAATGCTGAGGCCGGGCGGCACTGTAATAGGGGAAGGCAGGGTGAGGCCCCCAAAGGATGAGCAGCCAGCATCCCTGCTCTGTGAAGCCTATTCTAGCTTCCTAGCTGGAGAGAAGCTTACATGTCTCGAAAGTTCTGCAGCTATTGGCTGGTAGCCCCATCGAATGCATAGCCCGTCCTGTGTGACTCTAAGACTCCTCAAAGCCAGTAAGCCTCAGGCCCACACTTCTCCATTTTGTTTCCAAGATGCCTGGGGAAGCTGCCTGCCAGCTTTGTCTCTTAGTGACCGAGACTGAGCACAGGAGAATGGGGAGAGGAAGTGAATGCCTCTTTAGGAAGGGATGATATCGAAGCATTTGCTCAGCATCATTTTCTTTCCTCAGATGTGATTCTCGAATGCCTGGGCTTCAAGTGGGAACTCCATCAGCCCCAGCTTTTTCAGTCTGAGACCTTGACCAAGCTTTACTTGGCAGCCCTGGCACCGGGCACAACAAGCTCCCTGAAGGGACTGGAGAAGCTTCTGCAAGGTACTTTCCTACGGGCACTGGTACTGGGTTCCCAGGGCCCTCTAGCTTGGGGGACCCCAGCTTGGCACTTGGTTTTGAGACCACAGTCATCCTGGCCGTTAAGAGCAAGGCTTCACGGTGTGAATTCATCATGTGACTTAGCCTCAGCTTCCTCAGCTGTACAATGGGGATGGTAGTTCTTATGATGTGGCTTTGAAGAGTAGAGGAGGTGATAGATGTGAGATTCTAGAACAATTCCTGGTACACAGTGAGGACTCTGTCAGCAAATGTCAGTTATTATTCTCATAATAACCCGGGTCTTGATGGCCAGCCAAGACAGAGAGGCTCTACGTACTTCTTTGAGAAGAGAAAATGGTCTGTGCTGAGTTTTGTGAAGAGCTTTCAGGAAGGAAGACTTGGTTCTTCCTTGTTTGGCTTGCTTGGCCCTAAGTATGCTGGTAGAGGTCTATATGTGTGGATCTATCTTTTATTGTCCTATCTTTCCTCTTCTCTTTTCTTCTCTTTTCTTCTACCTTATTCCAAAAAGAATTTTGATCATGTCTTTCTTTCTTTGTCTCCTTTTAAAATTCTAACCATTCCAGCCCCCCTTACCTATTCTGTAAGTCTTCTCCAACCTCTTTGGGCACAGGCCACAGGTTGGCATCTTCTCAGGCTGACTCAGAAGCAGGTGCCATGGAAAATTCTGGGCCCTCAGAGCCTTGGATGCCGGTCAGGATGCGATTGCATTTTCAGGACACAGCAGCAAAGCCTTGTTTATTCTGGAGTAAGGAAGGCAGCTGGAGACCCCAGTTGCTGCCTGTCCCTGATCCTGGAGGGAGAGCCCCACTGCCTGCGGGAAGCTGCCAGCCCCACAGCCTGTGACTCAGCCCTCCCCCAGGTCTGCAGGGGGAGCCTCTGCGGCTTCCCCATAAACCACAGCAACCTTGGCATCTGCTCACGCTCTTCCTTGCTCTTCTGAAACTTCTGCCTCAGCATCTGCAAGAGCGGGACGGGGCTCTTTCTCTTCCCCTGTGTCCCGTCAGAGTGCCCCCCCCCAGGCCATCAATGAAAGGTTCCGGGACCCAGACAGTGAGTTCATGGAAAAGCAAGAGAATCTGGAAGGAGAAATGGAGTCATTGCTAATGTTATGATCACTAACATGTCTAGAAGGATTTCCCTAAAAAGAAAATATTTGGCCCTGCCAAGACAGTCACTCTGATCCCAGTCCCCCTGCTAGAGACTGGGCCTGGCTGGGAGACACTGGGGGAAGGTACAGAGTTGAAATCCCAGTGCCTTTGACCATCACGACCTTCCAGGGCCTTGGGACCTAGGTCTCCAAAACTTTCAGGGGGAACTGTCACTATCCTTCACGTGCTGTAAAGGTGGAACATACTGGGCTCGGTGGCTCAGCCTGTAATCCTGTGCCTTTGGGAGGCTGAAGTGAGTGGATTGCCTGAGCCCGCGGGTTCAAGACGCGCCTGGGCA